ACAACACATTGATTAACTAAAAGCCTATACCTAACGATAAAATAGCATTCAATATAATACCTCTACAATGTTTTTACCATACATGTGACTTTCCCCGATACCGTCCTCATCACCGGCGATTTAAACGTTTGACTGGATTACGTCGACGACCCATCGGCTCGTCAGCTGAACGACCTTCTGGCCACCTGTAGCATGGTTTGTCACGTGACCTTGCTGACGCATGACATGGGCGGACTGCTGGACGTTATCATCACGCGTGCTGACCTTCAAAGTCCGCCAGTCGGTATCATCGAGATCGAAATATGCGAACATCGACTATTTCAGTGGACGGTGCCATGTGTGCGCCCGATGTCAGCGTACAAAACCGTTTCCTGTCGTCCGTGGCGCGGTCTCGACGGCGATGTCTTATGCGAAAAATTACAGTCGTCCCGACTATGTCGGCCTGACGCATGATTGGCACTTCAATCAACGACCTCGTGCAACTCTACAATACCGAGCTGACCCGTGCACTCGATGACCTCATTCCTGCACGCACAATTCGAATACCCCAACGAGTCCCCGGCCCGTGGTTCGACGATGCATGTCGGGTCTCGAAGCGGGAGGTTTTACTGCTCCAGCGGGATGTCTACCAGGCGAACAGACGCGGCAATCCTGCTGCTGCTGCCGCTGCTGTGGCCTCCACCTGGTGAGGTGCGAGGCGCGATTATTTCGACCTTCTTCGATCTAAACGAGTGGCATTTTGGCGCTAGAGAGTCGACGCGCAGCGCAGCGATCGTCGAGCGCTGTGACGTTTGCTGGATAAACTCATGGGAAGAGGCTTCAGGTGACGTAAGCGTGGAGGAATTTCACGCGCTTTTTGAAAATAAAATCTCTGCTGTGCGAGTGTCGTCACGGGTGTCTGCTTGTATGCCTCGGAGCAAGTCCCTGGCTGAAATTTTATTGGTTCAAATGATTACTGACAGGCAATAAGTTAAAAAATAGTAATTATGAATGAAAATCCAATGAATTATAATGAAAAAGAATAACTATCTAATGATATGATAATTGTAATGATTTTCTACAAAAATAATTTGCGGGTTGAGAATCTTTCTATCAATGATTCATCACACTTTCTTCAAATTAGCTAGAAACTTTTGACGCATGCACAAAAATTCAGTTCATTACCATAGGTTTTACATAAAAATTTACTGAATTACCGGTACTGATAAAATTTCCACCAAAATTTAATTAATTACTTTCGAAATTTTCATCTGAATCTCGCTGGCATTCAGATTCATGAAAATCCTACCTTTTCTTGCTACAAGAATCAATTACATATTCATTAAATGACGTCGGAACGAAGCAAGTCCCGCGGCGATGCTTGCCGATCAGATAATTTCACTTCAAAGCAGCTAATTAGGACACGACGCGGTCAGCAATTTACTTGCCATTTGATCGCATTAAAGCTCCAAATGAAATAACATGGAAATAAAAGAATATTCAGCGCTGGGCGCGGTGAGTGATCTATGGCAGCGAGGACTGAAGGCGCAGGCCTGAGAATGGCAAGATGGCGCCTGGAAAATTTCTGAACTTTTGAAATCGCAAATACTCGATAAAAATTTAGCAACGTTAGGTTATGCTGGTTTGTGAATAGAAACAGAGTGAAAATTAAAATGAGCGCCGAAAAATTATCACTCACTTTTTATTTTCAGAAGAAAAACAACTGTTTGATTGCCGTTATAAAAAATAAGCAAAACCTCAAATCTCAGAAGTTAGAAAATTTCTATCAGAGATGTGCAAGGCCTCGGGGCAATGAATGTAAATTTAAACATGAAAGGAACTGAAGTTTCAAGTGGCATTTCAGTGAATTGAAATATATTAGGCCTCGGAGCAATGGTGAAGCCGTGAAGTGGCGCGCTGCCTCGCTTAGTAAAACAAAAGAAGCTCTGAACAGCTATAGGAAAAAACGGTAATTTCACCCTACACCTCCGAGTCCTCATGGACCAAGACTGTTAAGCTCAATTTTCCAATTTACTTATAAACTTACCCACAGAAGCCAGTATTTACCCCCCACGTACGATATATGCGCATTCGTTTGTCAGGCTGAGCGCGTTGAGACTGCAAAAACGGCATTTTTTGAGTCGACATTTCTTACTATTTGATCATTCCCAGTTTTAGCTCGGTATATATTTATAGATGACATTTTGAAGTTTACTGAAACTCGAAGCACAGACATGAAACTCGAAGCACAGCACAGCAGCAATACCACAGCACAGCAGCAGCAGCAACAGCAATGCCGCAGCACAGCAGCAGCAACAGCAATGCCACAGCACAGCAGCAGCAGCAATTCCACAGCAGCAGCAGCAGCAGCAATACCACAGCACAGCAGAAGCAGCAATAACACAGCAGCAGCAGCAATACCACAGCAGCAGCAGCAATACCACAGCACAGCAGCAGCAGCAATTCCACAGCAGCAGCAGCAGCAATACCACAGCACAGCAGCAGCAGCAACAGCAATGCCGCAGCACAGCAGCAGCAGCAGCAATGCCACAGCACAGCAGCAGCAGCAATTCCACAGCAGCAGCAGCAGCAATACCACAGCACAGCAGAAGCAGCAATAACACAGCAGCAGCAGCAATACCACAGCAGCAGCAGCAATACCACAACAGCAGCAATACCACGGCACAGCAGCAGCAGCAATACCACAGCACAGCAGCAGCAGCAGTAATACCACAGCAGCAGCAGCAGCAATACCACAGCAGCAGCAGCAGTACCACAGCAGCAGCACAGCACAGCAGCAGCAGAAATACCACAGCA